TATTCCTCTGTCCAGGCATTGAAAAAAACAAACCTTCAATATTTTTAAAGACAATTTGGGCCCTTTTTTCGTCAACGGAATGTTCACAAAATTGTTATAGGCCGTGTAATATCATGGATTTAACGTTGGAAACAATGGACGTGGACTTACTAGTCTTAACTCAAATGTCGTGGGTAGCTATTTTGTGGTCTCTCAACAGATTCTTTCGGCACACCCCAGTAGACTCCAGTACCCTACATCTAGCCTCGGCTGGATCCACGGTGGCTAGGTGCGTAAGGCGCTGGCTCGCTAGCCTGGAGGTCGGGTGTTCGATCCCTGCATTGGCCGAGAAAGTTCATCCCGATTTTCCGACGTGGTTTCTCCTTGTCAGTGATGCAGGACGGAGGGCCTGACAAGGACAGCTGTCTAGTCCTTCGGATGAGACGAATAACTGAGGTCCCGTGTAAACATTGGAATGCACGTAAAAGATCCCTTGGCAGTTGGAATTCGATATACGAGTAGGCGATAATGCCGCTGCCCGGGCAAAATTTCCCTCATAGCACACTGTATGGCGTATGCCCGTCTTCATTAGCCCAGTATAGGAGCAGAACAGTAGGACGTTAAACCCCATTTCATTTCATTTCATTTCATTTCTAGCCTCGGCTGTATGACGAATTCCGCCATTGGAACTACTTTCATGTTACCGGATTACAAATGACGGCGTCCATGAAGAAGCCTGTGAAGAGTGTTTTATCATACAAAGCTTTCAATATCTGAAGCTGTTTTTCTTTCAAGATTTTCCGATTTTCTTTAAAGAAAGGAAAACATTGCAATGAAAACTTTACACACTCTTCGAACGCTGCCATAGTTAGAACTTCTTTCGAAAAGCGGAAAGTTTCCTAATAAGTAAACCGATAGCCACATCGCAATTGTATGGATGTAGGTAGATATCGCTTACCGTCATACAACCGAGGCTAGATGTAGGGTACCGGAACCTTCCGAGGTTTGCCCAGTGTTAACAGACTGTGACGGACAACGGAAACTGGCTCACTAGCGAGTAGGTTACAGACTCCATTCCGATGTTGGTCGAGAAAGTTCAGTTAGATATTTTTAGCGGTATGTCCCCTTATTAGTGGTGCAGGAGGGAGGTCCTTGGAAAATAGACGGAATCGCTGCTGCCGAGGACAAATGTCTCTCATTTCGCACAGATCCTATTTCGTTTCGTTTTTTATATTTCAAAATTTCGTTTTACTTGTCTTTATTACACTAGGATCTGGAAGAATTGTTATTATATTACCGGCGTTTTGGTTGAAGTGAGGGATAAGCCAATGAAACGGCCTGTTACGGCGACTTCTTGGCGTGCCATGCACGGAAATGTGGGTAAACCCCTAGAAACGTCAACGCTGATTGATTTATCCGCTCGTTCGACCCCTGACACGACCTTCAAGTACAACTTGTCAGATCTTCATGTATGGTAAGAAAACGAAACGAAATCATAGATCTATATTTTAATCAGATTTCTTGGTACAGAACAGTAGGACGTTCAACCCCGTTTCATTTTCATTTCATTCCGGTCAAAACGCATTTATTTAACTGGATACACGCGCATTAAATGCCAGTTAAAGTAATCGATGTATTGTAGTCTTGGATACAACAATCAGAGTTAAACTGTCCAATATATCTTGTCGCTGTGCGGCCTGGATAATTGAGTTTGATATTAAGTAACTATGAAAGATCTCTGACGTAACTCTGACAGATGACGTGCATAATTGGCTGGGGTCGACTCGATTGACCAGTAATTGAGAATAATATATTAAGTCGACACTGTGTTATTAGATTAATCTCTATTCATTGGGCAATAATTGACTTAAAGAATACGTGACGGATATTCAAAGTGGGGATTTAATATATCCCAGCTGGACCGGATGTGATAACGCTTGTCCACTGGGCCCATGGCATTAGCATTCTGAAAAGTCAAAAACGTTCGAGAGAGAGAGAGAGAGAGAGAGAGAAAGAGAGAGAAATGGGGTTTAACGTCCACTCGACACAAACTAGGTCATTTCGAGACTAACATATTGTTCAATTTTATTTCAATAATTCGCTTGCGCGTAGCGATCTTTAGCACTGGGAAAAACCGGAGGACCCGGAGAAAACCCACGAGGTTGGACAGGCGACCATACTGCCACGTACAACCGTGAAATCGAAACCACGCCAGTTGACTCAATGACAGACCTTACGATACAGCGCGCACGCGCTAACCATTCGGCCATCCAATCCCTATCTATATATATGAAACTTGGGGGCCACGGAGGCTAAGTCGGTAAGACGCTGGCTCGCTACCTGGAAGGTCGGGTTTTCGATCCCTGCATTGGCCGAAAAAGTTCATACAAATTTTCCGGCGTGGTTCCCCCTTGTCAGTGATGCAGGACGGAGGGCATGACAAGGACAGCTGTCTAGTCATTCGGATGGGACGAAAACCCGAGGTCCCGTTTACACATAGGCGTGCACGTAAAAGATTCCTTGGCAGTTGGAATTCAATATAACAGTAGACCGTAGAGCCGCTGTCTGGGCAAAATTTCCCTCATATCACACTGTATGGTGTATGACCGTCTTCATTAGCCATGTTCGGAGCAGAACTCCAATCTCGTGGGTTTTCTGCGGCCCCCAGCCCTCTCTCTCTCTCCCTCTCTCTCTCTCTCTCTGAGCAGAACAGTAGGAAGTTCGACCCCATTCCATTTCATTTCATTTCATTTTAGACATATGAACCATCTTAATGTGATCTTTTTTTTTAGAAAAAAAATTAAATGCTTTGTTTACGGTATAAACATCACGGAATTTGACCGATTTGTGATGAATGTTCTCTATCTCTTTTAAGAAGTGTTTGGAATTCTCTCGAGGCAACAGTTTTTATCCGATCTGTTTGAAGTTTTTGTGGTGTGCTGAGAAACCAATGAAGTCTGTCATATTTCGACGATTTATATTGAATAATAACATCTCTAAATTTACTCCATTTGATCTTGTCTGGTGATTCCCCCGTCTTATTTTATTATGACTGACCTTGTTATCACCCCCGCCCCCCGCCCAACACAGGAATCGAAAGATGAATCAAATGTCGAGAAAACGATTTAATGATGTGACGTCAGCAGAAATCGTCGTCATTGGCAGTGTGTATTTCTATTGATATTTGGGGGGTGGATGGCCGAATAGTTAGCACGTACGTGTTGTATCATAAGGTCTGTCATTGAGTTAACTGGCGTGGTTTCGAATCCCCGTTTGTACGTGACAAGGAGTAGGGTCGCCTGTCCAACCTCGTGGGTTTTCTCCGGGTTCTCCGGTTTCCTCCCACTGCTAAAGACCCCTACGCGCAAGCGAATCATTGAAATATAAATTAAACCATATGTTAGTCCCGAAGTGACCTAGTTTGTGTCGAGTCGACGTTAAACCCCATCTCTCTCTCCTCTCTCTCTCTCTCTCCTCTCTCTTTCTCTCTCTCTCTCTCTCTCTCTCTCTAACGATCAGTCGACACAAAAAGGGGTGAAACCGGAACACCTGGAGAAAACCCACGAGGTTAGGCAGGTAACCATGAAACATGAGAAACGTGACTCCTAACTGAACATTAATACGCATCACGGAAATTATCGATGGAAAGTTTGAGTTTGAATTCATGCTGAGTTATCAGAACACGAGAACACCTCCACAATCTACGCCAAATAACTAAACAATAATCCGCATCAACGAACATGTCGATTAAACCAGCGAGATAAACAAAAAAAAAACTATTTCAGATTATGATTTGTGGTGGGAAATTGATTATTGATATAAAAAAAAACGATATCTAAAATGGATCTCTGACAACTACGGATACTAGAAAAAATATATAATTATATTAAAGTAGATTTGGGTTAATTGTTTTCCGCTTACATTATACACCGGTCTATTACTTATAATAACAAATGGTGGACATTAAGAAAAGCTGACAGTATTTCCGCTATAAATACTTCAAAACATTAATCAATTTATATCTTCCCTTCTTAGATTATTTTTGATGTATAGTGTGCCCTACATTATGAATAAGTGGCTAATAAAAGTTAGACCCGTATTTTCCATCCGGTTAAATCGCCTTTTGGCAATATCCTTAGTTTCTTGAACATATAATAATAATAATGTTCTCTATAGCTGAGTATTCAGTCAGTGTTCTCCCACTGCTAAAGCCCCCTACGCGCAAGCGAATTATTGAAATAAAATTGAACCATATGTTGGTCCTGAAATGACCTAGTTTGTGTCAAGTGGACGTTAAACCCCATTTCTCTCTCTCCCCCTTAATTTTTGGTGGGGTTGGATGGCCGAACGGTCCTCCGGTTTCCCCCACTGCTAAAGACCCCTACGCGCAAGCGAATTATTGAAATAAAATTGAACCATATGTTAGTCCAGAAATGACATAGTTTGTTTCGAGTGGACGTTAAACCCCATTCCTCTCTCTCTCAAATGATAAGTGTTCATAATGTGTTCAATAAAAAGCAAGTATACCCTGTCTCGTGTACAATACCCCCCAGTACTTATATCTAACAGTGTGTGATCGTACCAGGTATACTGTGTTAACTCATAGATGAGAAGTGGCATCAGGTCTTCTAGAAAGACTCGTTCTTCATCATCGACCACCCCAGAAACGTTCATTATTTGACCATCTTCTATATCTACATTTCTGGCGTGGTTCCCCCTTGTCAGTGATGCAGGACGGAGGGCCTGACAAGGACAGCTGTCTAGTCATTCGGATGGGACGAAAAACCGACGCCCCGTGTACACATTGGCGTGCACCACGTAAAATATCCCTTCACAGTTGAAGTTCGATATAAGAGTAGGCCATAGTGCCGCTGCCCGGACAAAATTTCCCTCATAACACACTGTATGGCGTATGCCCATCTCATTAGCCAAGTTCGGAGCAGAAAAGTAGGACGTTAAACCCCATTTCATTTCATTTCTATATCTACATATTTCATGTCTTGTTTTGTTTTTTTTTTCAGACGGCGTCAATAGTGTCTTCTGTACTCACGTTATGTGCCATCGGCGTGGAGAGATACTATGGAATATGTCTCCCGTTTGAGTCCTGGCTGTCATCAAGGCGGGTAATTACCATCATCGTGATGATCTGGACTACAGCTGCTGCTGTGTCCGCACCACATCTTATATATATGACGTTAAAGTCTACCTATAAGGACATACCGGAATATTTACAGTACTGTGCTATGAATATGTCGACTCAATCAAGAAAAGTTTTCCAGTCTGTTTTGGTGATCTGTGTATATCTAATACCCCTGTTGATAATTGGAGTAATGTATTTAAGGATATCAATACGCCTATGGAGTGCCAGTATACCGGGAGAAACTCTAAGTAAGTAGGTTTGTGTGGGACTATTTTTCGTCGCCCAAAATGCCTGTTCATACGCCGATAATATTGTCAATTGTTTAAATGACATCAAGATGCACGATTAACTAGTCATAACACAACACAACACCAGGTATATATAGTGAATCTCCTACGAGTCTTTTTTTGATATCAAAAAATATCAACACAAGTCGATAAAGTAAAAAAAAACGAGGCTCTGCACTTTTACTTCACCTGATTACATTACGTCGTAGTGATACATCATTTTTTGACAGCAATTCAACCATTGCAAAGTCCTTTATATATTCACCCAGTGTTTCCATCAGGCTGATTAAATAAAAATAGTTCATTTTTAAGTTACTTTAAATAAAAAAAAAAATGAACTGTTGTTTGAAAATAAAAAAAGTAGTTCCTTTTTGATTGACCAATCAAATATCCTAAGTAGATATCGCAGTAGATTATGAAATTTATCACACAAGCGATATCTACTGTAGAATGTATTATTGGGTGATGAATGGATATAACTCTCTCTCTCTCTCTCTCTCTCTCTCTCTCTCTCTCTCAATGTTTTAAGAGACCTGGGCCCTTATTCACGAAAACTTAAACTAAGATACAATCGAAATTTTAAGAAATACTGCAATTCGATTGGCTGACCAGTAAAATCAATTTGCATATATCCAATTTGCATATTGGTCAGCCAATCGAATTGCAGTATTTCTTAAAATTTCGATTGTATCTTAGTTTAAGTTTTCGTGAATAAGGGCCCGCTTTAACCATACCATTGTTACTACTGATGAGATACCACAATGCTCCAGTCTGACACCTATACCCAGAATCAGACGAAATTATTGTTATTTCAATATGAGCTAAAACATTGCATTTGCATGATCCAGCAAAATTAATAGCCTTGCCCCGCTAAGTCAAGTCCGATTATTTATTTTGACAACTTACCCATGGAACCTTAACATTTGGCAAGAATTTGAATATGCGAAACTACAGCCAGTCTGTAGATTTAACTTCTAAGTGATAGCAAACATGCGTATTCACCCTTCCGGTGGGGTGGGTAGTGATATTTCTGAGATCAGATTACAAGTTTGCCATACTAAAACCAGTCAGATTTTATATCTTTAGAACCGACTAATAGCTAACATTTGGCATCGATTTAAGTCATATTAGTTATGAGGCAATCAGAAAGGGGTGTGGCTCCATTTTGTCCGGTCAGATTTTGGATTTTAAGATTCAGATATAACATGACAACATTTCAGAATTAAATGAAATGAAATGGGGTTTAACGTCCTACTGTTCTGCTCTTAACCTGGGCTAATGAAGACGGACATACGCCATACAGTGTGCTATGGGGGAAATTTTGCTTGGGCAGCGGCGCTACGGCCTATTCTTATATCGAATTGCAACTGCCAAGGGATCTTTTACGTGCATTCCAATGTATAATTTCAGAAATAGTTCTGATCATGTTACGCATGAGGCAAATAGTGTCCCTATTTGTGGGCGTGGCAGATCGGGCAAATTTTAAGTAATCAGATAGGAGATTTGTCACATTTAAACCAGTCGGACTTTATATTTCTAGAATTGACCTTTAATAGCTAATATTTCAGTCATATTACTTATGGGGCAAATTTTGGCCTCCGTCGCCACTTTTGTGTGGCTTAACTGCAGGCCTAACTAAAAATGGCATATTCTTGGGGGAAGGGGGGAGGAAGGGGGGGTGATTAGGGTGGCTAAGTGGGTAAGACGCTGGCTCGCTAGCCTGGAGGTCGGCTGTTCGATCCCTGCATTGGCCGAGAAAGTTCACCCAGATTTTCCGGCATGGTTCCCCCTTGTCAGTGATGCAGGACGGAGGACGTAAAATAAAACCGAGATATCGTGTACACATTGGCGAGCACGTAAAAGATCCCTTGACAGTTGGAATTCGTAGGCCGTAGTGCCGCTGTCCGGGCAAAATTTTCCTCATAGAACACTGAATGGCGTATGCCCGTCTTCTTTAGTCCAGTTCGAAGCAAAACAGTAGGACGTTAAACCCATTTCATTTCATTTCCATAGTCTTGGATATTTTTTAAATTGAGCCTTTACGTCAGTATTTGTTTGAAATTATACGGTAAACGGTAAACACTACTTCAAAGTAAATCTTGCATCACGATTTAATTTCAACCATCGCTCAAAAGATGCATGGTATTGAAAGATCGTGATTTATGCATTTCACGTTTCATCTGTAATTTGCACTGGAGATCGTGGCGGAAAAGTATATATTTAATGGCTGTTGATCGGAATATTAGGTTTTCTGCCAGGGGCTTATTCAGTGATTATTTACATTTAGGAGCCACGGTGGCTAAGTGGGTAAGATGCTGGCTCGCTAGCCTGGAGGTTGTTTCGCTCCCGGTGTGGGCCGAGAAAGTTCACTGAGGTTTTCCGGCGTAGTTTCCACTGGTCAGTGGTGCAGGACGGAGGGCCTGACAAGGACAGCTTTCTAGTCGTTCGGATTGAACGAAAAACCAAGGTCCGGTGTACACATTGGCGTGCACGTAAAAGATCCCTTGGCAGTTGAAATTCGATATAAGAGTAGGCCGTAGCGCCGCTGTCGGAGCAAACTTTCTGTCATAGCACACAGTATAGCGTATCATCCGAATGACTAGACAGCTGTCCTTATCCTGCACCACTGACAAGGGGAAACCACGTCGGAAAATCCCGAGGAACTTTCTAGACCAATGTAGGGATCGAACACGCAACCTCCAGGCTAGCGAGCCAGCGTCTTACTCACTTAGCCACCGTGGTTCCACAAAAATAGGGCATTAAACTCCATACCAGAATATTGATGAGTACTGATAGCGTTATCTAGGCCAATATTTCACAAGTCACCCGCCGACTGATAACCAATGTTTTAATATATTACTAGAGATTTTATCATCTCAATGTTGTAAATCAGCCAACTGTTCTCACTCAGTAGTATGAATACCGAAGCTGACCGGTTGAAACATACGAAAGTTAATCAGGAACAGCTATTAATTTCAGATTTGTCAAAAATTCCAGCCAATTTAACGAACACGTGTCTGCATTATCGATGATTGCTATTTTTCTCGAAGCGAGATGTAGCACCTAACAACATCAGTTTAGGATGCGTAAAGAAAGCCAGTTAGCGTCTTATATTAAAGGCCAATATACCAGTATCAAAGATATACTATAGGAAAATATGTACTACCAAATAATATATAATAACATCATGTGTATACTATCAATTAATATACAATAACAAAATATATACTACCAAACCATATACAATAACAAAATATATTCTACCAAACCATATACAATAACAAAATATATTCTACCAAACCATATACAATAACAAAATACTACCAAACCGTATACAATAACAAAATACTACCAAACTATATACAATAACAACATATATACTACCAAACCATATACAATAACAAAATATATACTACCAAACCATATACAATAACAACATATATACTACCAAACCATATACAATAACAAAATATATACTACCAAACCATATACAATAACAAAATATATACTACCAAACCATATACAATAACAGAATATATACTAACAAACCGTATACAATAACAACATATATACTAACAAACTATATGCAATAACAAAATATATACTACCAAACATATACAATAACATCATATATACTAACAAATAATGTACAATAACAACATATATACTACCAAACCATATACAATAACAACATACATGTATATACTACCAAACCATGTTTTAGGCCATCGAATTTTGGGTCCCGGACGATTTTAGGCTCTGGGCAAATTTGCGCCCTCGACGAATTTGGGCCCCGAACGAATTTGGGCTCCGGGCGAATTTTGGCCCAAAATAAACAATATCAAACCATACACTGCATATAAATATTCTAGTATTGTTTAACCGGACAATAACAGACAGCCGACTGATTTACAAATTATTATTTGAATACAACTAAGGGAGCCACGGTGGCTAAGTGGTAAGACGCTGGCTTGTTAGCCTGGAAGTCGCGTGTTCAAACCCTGCATTGGCCGAGAAAGTTGTGGTGCAGGACGGAGGGACTGACAAGGACAGCTGTCTAGCCATTCGGATCGGACGGAAAACCGAGGTTCCGTGTATACATTGGCGTGTACGTAAAAGATCCCTTGGCAGCTGGAATTCAATATAAGAGTAGGCCATAGTGCCGTTGCCCGGGCAAACTTTTCCCTCATTATCATATCACACTGTATGGCGTATGCCGTCGTTATCAGTTAAGTCGGAGCAGAAAAGTGGGACTAGTAGGGTCAAAGTAATGAAAACAAATGGGCCAACCTCCAAAAAATTGCAAGAAAACGTTTTATGGTTATTTCTTGTAGTATATGGTCTAGACAACAACATATCAAAAGTTGTCTAAAATTGAGCTACCGCAAAGGGTCTAAACATGACGTCAAACAAATGGCCGCCATTTGTTGTAAAAGGCTTAGGTGTAAAACAATGCTATTATAAAACCAATGTCTTAGTAATTCATCACTCTGTGAGTGTTGTGCGGTGTTTCCACGTGACGTCATGGCGTTATAAGGGGTCGTTATGACGTCAATTGTTCCTTTAGATGGTTTATTAGCCATTTCATTTGAGATTATAGATGGATGGCTAGCATAAATGCGGGCAATTGCTGCAATAGAAATGCCGACAACGATTTATGGTCGGTCTAGACCTATATAATCACCAAAGTCCCAGTCCGAATTCCGTGCCAAATGGGTCAAATTGGCCAACATTTGATTATTTTACTGGACAATATACAATAACAAACAGCCGGCTGGTTTACAAATTATTGTAAAATTAACACTAACCTAAGTTGTAGCAATTTAAAGTTCATATTATATACTTGATATCACGCCGGTGTCTTGAATTTAACGTAATCATACTTCAACGTCTAAGCAAATAATATCAACAAGCCAAGGTGGTATCTATTGTACTTTTTATGCTTTAATATTCTCGAAATCTCTTTACAAAGAATACTTTTGAGTCTTTTATTTTGGTAAATTTGAAAAAAAATTAGAAGCCGCGGTGGCTTAGTGAGTGAGACACTCGCTCACTAACCAAGAGGTCTCGAGTTAATAACTCGCTGCAACAGACCCTTACATCAATTATAACGCGGGTTATATAACAACTCTTCTAGATCCTAGTATAGTAAAGACAAGTAAAACGGAACGAAATAGAATCTGTGTTTTAATCAGATAGTGGTTAGGTGATCATAAAGCCATTGATTCATCCTCCGAACATACAAGACCACCCGTCCTGCACCACTGACAAGGAGACATCGCGCTGAAACATCGCTAGAACAATCGTGGCCAACATCGGATTCAAACCCATGATTCCTACTCGGTGAGAGAGAGAGAGAGAGAGAGATGGGTTTAAAGTCATTTTGGGACTGACATATGGTTCAATGTTATTTCAATAATTCGCGTGTGCGCGTAGGGGTCGTTAGCAGTGAGAGGAAACCGGAGGACCCGGATAAAACCCACGAGGTTGGATAGGCGACCCTACTCCTTGTCACGTACAACGGGGGAATCGAAACCACACCAGTTGACTCAACGACAGATCTTATGATACAGCGCGCACGCGCTAACCATTCGACCATCCAACCCCCCGAGCCACCATGACTCTAACAGCAGTTGAAAATGCCAGATGTCAATCCACATCTGCTACAAAAATGTGTGTTACATTCTTCAGAGATTTGATTGATAGCCCTCTGACACGCCCTTCATCTGTAAAATGTAAACACGCATTTAAGCATCCCTGTATTTCCAGTAACAACGACGTTAATGAACGTCTGATGCTATCTGGTAAATGAAAAAGAAGAATGTCATGCCCTTGTGTCTGGTATGTCAGGCTAATCTTCTCTCTCCGTATTATTTGTCAATTATGACTCTTTCTTTGACAACAGCGGTTGTATGCGCAGATAAATCACTCACAGAGATCCATCGACACAGGTTGTCTAACAAGAAACGCCAAGTTTATTTTCTTTCTTGAAAACCCACAAAAACTAGAGCTCTTAATTCGGCGGTAGATACAAGTGTTGACTGACAGGGGAAGAAATTAGCAAGCTGAAGAAGTTACCTTTCATGCAATTTTACATGCCATGGTTTTTAACTAAACCTTAAAAAAGATATCCAATTCGGTATAATTCTAACAACTATCGTATAACATCCACTCCAAATGATAAAAATGAACGGACTAATGTTCTGCTCCTACTGGGCTAATGAAGACGGGCATACACTGACCGCTACAGCCTACTTTTATGTCGAATTCCAACTGTGGGAATGGCAATGCGTACACGGCACCCTGGTGTTTTCGTCCAACTTTCCCGCCAACACCGGGATCGAACCCACAACATGCGAGTAGTGATCTTTAGTAATGGGAGGAAACCGGGAACCCGGAGAGAAACTCACGAGGTTACAACGGGACTTTATTTTCTTTCATGAAAACTTCACAAACCAGGGTTCTCTCGATTACGAACATGATAGACTTTAGTAGACATTTTGGATTTAACCCCCCCCCCACCCTCCACACTAATTTCAAATCATACTGAACAAAATTATTCATTAAAGATACATTATGGAAGATTTAGATAAAGAGCTATCCATTCTTCCTATACTAGTTCGAAAATAGATCATGAAAATGAATAATTTGAAAATTTCATTCAAATTACACTATTGCGAGTGAAGATATTAGCCTTTGAAGGTTTGACAAGACGTGTGTAATAATTTCAACCACCGTACTGCTTGTTCGAAGCTAAGTCTCGCTCCTCCATTTTTAGATTAAATCAAACTATGACTGAACCATTATAATCTATTTAATATCGGAGAAATCCGATGCCATCGAGGGTTGATTATGGCCTGGATAAGTTAATTAATATCTAATTAATAATTTAGATAACATTTCAGGTCTAAAGAAAGACCTGCAATCGGCAGATTTAGCTCTTGCATAATGTATGTTTAATAAAGGGTTCAATAACTACCCCCTCTCTCTCTCTCTCTCTCTCTCTCTATCTCTCTCTCTCTCTTTAAACACACACCATTACTGTTCTGTTTTACGATTTGGTTAATTATTAAAAGGTATGATATACCTTCAGCTGTGATACGAAACGAAAGTGATTAAAATAAAGTTATGTCTGGATGTAATTTCAGAATGTAACTAAAAGATACATTATGTAAAATTTAGATAACGAGCTCACGATTCTTGCTATAATAGCTCAAAAATAGATAATGTAAAATGAAAATATTAAAAATTTCAAATTACTTTATTCTGAACCAAGTTATCACTGTTTGTAGTTTTGACAAGATGTGTGCATTGTGGTAATCAGGGCACTGGTACATTCGAGACTTTGCCTCGCTTTCCTATTTTTAAATTAAATTTTTAAATGGCGAACCGTTCTAATCTAGTTAAAATCTCGAGTATCCGATGTCATTGAGAGTTGATTATAGTCTTTTCATGTTAATAAATGTCTAATTAATAATTTATATAACATTCGGGCCTTCAACAGACAGATTTAGCTCTTGCATAATGCATGTTTAATATACTTCTACCTCACTTTGACATTACCTTTACAGTGCATCATTTTTCTCCATTTTTCAGAATCAGCAGGAAGACCATCTAATGCTATGATTAATCAAAAATTATCCAGACGGAAGATATCCCGAATGTTAATTGCTGTTGTAATTATATTTGCTGTTTGTTATTTGCCGATACACGTAATGTATATTTGCTTGTAAGTTTTAAATATTACATTGATCAATTCACGACCCCCCCCCCCCCGTCCACCACAAGAGTTCCACAAGATATTGGACTTATAAAAAAAAATCAAATTTTTCAAAAAGTTCTTCTCAGACCTCCCTATGTGCCTGTGTGGTACCACAATCCACAAGATTTTCGACTTGGATTAACTTTGTTAGAGTATTTTGGGTCTGTGGTGTTTTTCGCCACAAGATATTGGAATCAATTTGACTTATGTGTCACACATGACTTAGAAAAACAGAAATCTATTTTAGGGTAACAATTGTTTATAATAATAATAATAACATAGATCTGCCAGGCAGATATGAAAGCTTTCATATTGATGGTCTCGGGTCATGCATTATGTCAAAAATGTCAAAAAGAAAAAATAATTAATAAGATCAGCCAATAATTCGCTAAGCTAAACAAGAAATATTTCAACTGGGCAATATTTTTGGATAGATGTTACGGATTAAATCGGCCAAACACTGGCTAAGTCATAACGACCAGGCATCACTTCTCATCTGATGGTATTGATTCTGCCAAGAATCTTAACCAGAAAAGAATTATCTTTATAACTTTTGTAACTTCTTTTTGAAGATAAAACATGAAAACGCACCAGTAACAGTTGGATGACATGCACCTAAGACTACTTATGGCTTCGAACAAGGGTTAAAAGATTTGCCATGTTTCCTAACTCCTTTCTGAAGATAAAACCTCGAAGACGCTCCAGTAACAGTTGAATGGCATGCCCCTAAGACTACTTGTGGCTTCGAACAAGGGTTAAAAGATTTGCCATGTTTGCTAACTTCTTTTTGAAGATAAAACATGAAAACGCATCAGTAACAGTTGAATGACCTGCCCCTAAGACTACTTGTGGTTTCGAAATTCCAGATAGGATGAAATTAGTTGATGCGATTTCAAGTGAGATTTGTATAATTTAGATTTTTGGAGGATTAATTTATGGTCTATAAGATCAAACGCCTTTAAAGATCGAGAAAAACTGCTCCGGGCATATTACTTGAGTCTATTTCTTTAAGCCAGATATTTGTAATTCTCAATAAGGCTGCTGAACAGGAATGATTTTTTTTTCTAAAACCAGATTTCAATTCATAAAATAGTTTGCAGTTTTCCAAATATTTTGTAATTTAAGATCTGATGTGTGTTTATACGCCCACATTGAAATGTTGTCGTGTTTTGTCGTCGCCCTCGTCCGTCCGTCAGTCGGTTCGGCGTCCACAATTGCCAGAGTTATGGCCCTTGATCACTTCAAAATATGTTAGCATGGGGCAGAACCTTATAAAACCAAACAAATTCTAATGATTTTCTGATAATTACGTTATGAGTTGTTACTCTTAATCAGATTTTAATGTATTATAAATGTTTCATTACCGAAAAAAGTAAAAATATGCGACAAATCTTGTTGAATGCCCGGACGATTTAGCTGCTGTGGGCGTATGTTTCGTTGCCTGGCAACCTATCTTTCAAATATTTTTGATATTGTGGGTAAGACAGAAATGGGTAGATCTTTGTCTTCCTTCTTACGGATTGGGATACGTTTAGCAAATTTTAATTGTTCGGGGAAAATATTTTTTGAGATGCATAAATTTATTATAATAATAATAATAATAATAATAATAATGTATATTTGTAATGCGCTTAATAATCCATCCATATACGCATGCTCAAAGCGCAACATTTAAAGAGTCAATACCCGTAGCCTTACTTGGATCGAGCATATTTAGATATTTGTGTACATCTGCACATGAGATATAATTTATGGTAAATTCTTTGTTAGGAGGAATTGTTTTTTGAACAACAGAACAGTAGGACGTTAAACCCCATTTTATTTCATACCATTTTTGAACAAATTTATCAATCTTTTCACAATTTCTTTGGAAAGGGGGTTATATACAGGCTTAATATCATCGGTAACATTGGTTCAATAATTATTCATTATATCAGATAAATCATCACAATTTCTTATTATCTAATTTCATGGACATCGGATAGGTACAGCTCGTTTTATTTCCCATAGCATTGTTAATTTTTTTCGAAATATTGAATGAAACAAGTTGGCCATGTCTTAGACACCATGCATTTTATATTCATCTTTCCAGTCAGTTGTGTAATTAGTTTTAAAATAAAATAAAAATATATTCGACGGAAAGAATGTGTTAGAAACCTTGGTGTATACTTTGGCAGAGATACAGGTGTCCAACATCTGCAAAACAAAAAAACTTTTATCTGTACAATATTGGAAATATTTGACCTTGATACCACCGACTTGCTTATATTAAAGCGTCATCTCTTGATTACAGTAACTCTCTGCCAAAACACCTACTTCATGAATTACCAACAGCTGGCCATATATGAGAGAAAATGAAATGAAATGAAATGGGGTTTAACGTCCTACTCTTCTGCTCCGAACTGGGCTAATGAAGACGGGCATACGCCAAACAGTGTGCTATGAGGGAAATTTTGCCCGAACAGCGGCACTACGGCCTACTCTTATATCGAATTCCAACTGTCAAGGGATCTTTTACGTGCACGCCAATGTGTACACGGGACCTCGGTTTTTCGTCCCATCCGAACGACTAGACAGCTGTCCTTGTCAGGCCCCCCGTCCTGCATCACTGACCAGGGTTAACCACGCCGGAACATATATGAGAGAGAGGGGGTGGGTGGGGGTAACGGCGCAAACTAGTTCATTTCGGGACTAACATATGCTTCAAGTTTATTTCAATAATTCGCTTGAGCGTACGGTCTTTAGCTGAGGGGGGGGGGGGGGGGCTGGATGGGGTTTAACGTCCACTCGACACAAACCAGGTCACATGGTTCAATTTTATTTCAATAATTCGCTTGCGAGTAGGGGTCTTTAGCAGTGGGAGGAAACCGGAGGACCTGGAGAAAACCCACGAGGTTGGTTGAACAGGCAATCTTACTCCTTGTCACGTACAACCGAGGAATCCAACCACGCCAGTTGACTCAATAACAGACCGTATGGTACAGCGCGCACATACTAACCATTAATGCTATTTTCATAATGCAAACAACATCTCAAATTAGAGGAGATAAATCGCTAATATTTGGGACTTAGAAATTGACACAAGTTGGTCGCAACGCATATAATAATATAATATGAATGTACATAAACTGATTTACGTTATCGTTTCCGTTTTACTCTAAATTCAAATCAGTACATTTTGTCCATCTCTCTTCTGTATATATTTGCGTATTTATTTTCATTTTTAACAAGAGGAAATAATTAAAAAGATTTTGTAGAATTTTTGAAAAAAATTTAAATTTAAATATGGTAGGCATATAAGGGTTTTGGGAAGAAGGTTAAATATCTTGTGGAACTGTTGTGGTGAAAAACATCACAGACCCAAAACACTTATATCAAATTCGAAAATCGTGTTGAATGTGGTACCAGACAGGCACATAGGGAGATCATAGAAGAAATTTTTGAAAAAACTCTTGTGAAATTCGTGTGTTAAAAAACACCAGAGAATAAAATCTGGTCGATTAACTATCAATGTTCCAGGAAAATAAGTAGAAAATTCCAAACATCTAGATTAAAGATACATTATGGGAGATTCGGTAACGAGTTGGTAGTTCTCACTATAATAGTTAAAATCCAGATAATGTAAAGGCAATTTGCTAAAAATTTCATTCAAATTGATCCACTAGGAACCGAGAACTAAGCGATTGAAATTTACGCCTAGTCTCGATCATCATTACTAAAGTCAGTACGATAAACAGCATAGTCTCGATTATTCATTTAATCGTTAAATCGTGAAGGTAAGTTATGCAGTAAATCGGTTCATAATCCACTTATGATTGCAGGCTAGCGATGCCATCTAGAGTTGATTATGGCCTGGATAGGTTAATTAATGTCTAATTAATAATTTAGATAACATGTCGGGCCTAAAGAAAGACCTGCAATAGACATGTTTAAGTGAATGGATCCGGGGGCTAGAGCGCGCATGTAGTGATACGGACTTCACTCAAAAATAAAAATTAACCATAAGAAGGAATATATCCCAATAACATTGTGTTATACTAGTACGAGTCATGATTTGCTATCTGGCACGGGGGGGGGGGGGGGGGGGTGGCCGAATGGTTAGCACGTGCGCGCTGTATCATAACGTTTGTCATTGAGTTAACTAGCGTGGTTTCGAATCTCTGGTTGTACGTGGCAAGGAGTAGGATCGCCTGTCAAACCTCGTGGGTTTTCTCCGGGTCCTCCGGTTTCCTCCCGCTGCTAAAGACCCCTACGCGTAAGCGAATTATTGAAATAAAATTGAAGCATGTGTTGGTCCCGAAATGACCTACTTTGTGTCGAGTGGACGTTAAACCCCATCTCTCTCTCTCTCTCTCTCTTTCTCTCCCCCCCCCTTCTCTGTTCATGAATTTACATGATACGATGAATTAAACATGTCGCAACATTCGACATTTTCTAAAGACGATATAAAAAATCCAGTAATACGTGTAAATTTGTTTGAATTCAAGCCACGAGAGTATCTATCGATATAAATAAATGAAAAGAAATGGGGTTTAACGTCCTACTGCCACATGAAATATGAATGTAAGCATATTGAAGGGAAAACAATTACCTATACAAGTAACTGTATCGACGGATGGGGAGCCACGGTGGCTAGGTGGTTAAGGCGCTGGCTCGCTAGCCTGGAGGTCGGGTGTTCGATCCCTGCATTGGCCGAGAAAGTTCATCCCGATTTTCCGACGTGGTTTCCCCTTGTCAGTGATGCAGGACGGAGGGCCTGACAAGGACAGCTGTCTAGTCCTTCGGATGAGACAAAAGACCGAGGTCCCGTGTAAACATTGGAATGCACGTAAAAGATCCCTTGGCAGTTGGAATTCGATATAAGAGTAGGCGATAGTGCCGCTGCCCGGGCAAAATTTCCCTCATAGCACACTGTATGGCGTATGCCCGTCTTCATTAGCCCAGTATAGGAGCAGACCAGTAGGACGTTAAACCCTATTTCATTTCATTTTATTTCATTTCGTATCGACGGATGACCAGTATCTAGAATGGTTTAACTCCAAGCAAAGACTAGACTCCGGTTGGTTTTAACAAATCAATATTGCTCCATTTAAGTCTGGAAATTAATTATTATTCTAAATATAATGTATTATCATTTCTGATATTCGCAGGCGCAATAAATAGCTGACCGAATTACCAAATAATCACATAACCTCTCGAGGGTATAACACCAGTAGCGCTCGGACTAATTTTCAAGGTGTGGCGTGGGACTGTTGCTTTCGTGACGAGGTAACACGAATGTTTAATTTGGTGAAATTGTCGATCAATCACCTTGTCTTATTATATCGTGTCACGATCGCATACGATACGTCCAATAAAAGAAGTGATATAACTCATTATGCTCTATTCAAATTGGACAAATTCCAGCTAAAATTTATATGGATCCGCAAAAAGCAACCTAATTCTTCAACCATTAATTTAAGTTATATCCGCCTGAAAGCCGTTCGATATCTATTGTGTACAGACTTTGTTCATAGAAGTACATGGAGATTATATAGCAATAGATCAAGCGCGTGTCGAATGACAGATAACAGAGAGGTGTCAAACTTGGCGCGGTAACTAACTCCGCAACACTTGGAAACAATGGAATTCCCATGGTGTGTTGTCGTTAGGCTAACCGGTTGTATACAAATATCAATACCAGTCCGCTTTTTTCACCTCGGTGGAAGCGGACGTAAAATACAATTAACTACTTCTACTATTCTCTATCTTGTCTGTGACATCACACTCGGTGGACGCGGACTTTAAGCCCTAAACACCAACCAACTATTCCCTGCCAGCCTGCTCTAGATAGGCGAGAGTGAGAAAAGGAGTTTAACCTCCACTCGACACATGGTTCAATTTTATTTCAATAATTTGATTCTGCGTAGGCGTCTTTAGCAGTGGGAGGACACCGGAGGACCCGGAGAAAACCCATCGAGGTTGGACATTCGACCATACTCATTGTCACGTACAACCGGGGAATCGAAACCACGCCAGTTGACTCAATTACAGATCTTATGATACAACGCGCACGCGCTAACCATTCGGCCCCCTCCACCCGCTGTAAATAGAAGCTAGATGTTGGGAACGCGTGCTGTCAGCACCTGTTTGCCTCTATCCTATCAGCCCCGCGGAGGTTACTTTAGCTATCACATGTTTCCACGAACAACGCGATCAAATGGAGCGACCAATCTGAATAAAATACAGATCCTATTTCGATTCGTTTTATTATAGTTCAAAATCTCGTTTTACTTGTCATTGCTACACTAGGATCTTGAAGAGTTGTTAAATAACCCGCGTTCTGGATGATGTGAGGGATTAACCTATGAAACGGTCTGTTAAGGCGAGTTTTTGGCGTGAGATGCACGGAAGTTGTGGGTAAAGAAACAGCAACGCTGATTGGTTAATCAAATGTCTGACGTCATAGGGTCAAAAGCCTTTCTTATGATCTCTGACGCGACCTTTCATTACAACCGATAAGATCTTCATGTAGTGTAGGCTATTGAAAACGAAATATAGATCTGTACTGTAATCAGATTGTTAGAGCCTTTAACCATGAGGCCTGCGGAAGGGGGCTGCGAATGTCCCTGTTCGGTATCCCATTTCTAATTTACGTTGAACCTGCTTCTCAAAGATGAGGAGCTCTTCTGGAAAATTTCTGAGGAACGATTTGTCCAAGATTTCCCCATCGGTGAAAGCGGGCGTTAACCCTTCTAAATAACGCTTGACTATGGTCTCGTACAATGTAGCATGCTATATATAGATGACCCTGGCAGCTACCGGTGGTTGTAGCAAAGAAGAATGGCGAGGGCCATAAGGGCCTTGCACTTGAGACAGTGCCATCTGAACGCTTCCTAATCTCGCATTTCCCATCATCTCCGAAGACCATATAAACTATAAATTAGTCTAGAAAAAAATTAATGTTTCATTAGATTGAGATTAGTTTTGGAACAAAATGGATGTTTCAATAAATTGAAAATAACCGACTTTTTCAAGATGGGGAAACTGAAAACAGGTGCCTATTAATTTCATCTTATCAAGATTGACGCAACACGCTATCATGTCTGGGTGTCATTGTTAGACGATTTCAGTATAGCATCTCCGGTGGACAACGTAGACCGTATAAACTGGCGTGTGTACACCTGACAAAGTTCATTCAAACATCTTTCTATACCGGCATGATTTTTTTTAGCCAAAGATTTCGATAGGGTGTAATCTAATAAATTCAGACAAATTTTGTTTGTGAAAGCGATAAGCCGCATCTCGTGATCTATTGCCTAGAGGTTCTTTATAGAGGTTAAATAGATCGCGCTGACATCGCGAGACATCGTGACATTGCGCCAGGTTACTGACATCATTTTTTTGCCTTTCAATATGATTTCGTTATTTCGTCTAATTAGCTGGCAAATAATGGAAGCGCACGGCCATAAAGTGTAATAATTAACATAGTTGGCAGAGCTACTTCATAAAGTACGTTAAATAATGGTCTCATAGCATCACTTATCTGAGATTCAGATACAACACTTCCAGTATACTTCTTTCGTCGTTTTATAAATAAAAATCTACGGTCGCAATAAAGAAATATTATGACATTTTACGTTTTATTAAGGCGAAATTCACAGAGATAAAACCTCTTTAATTTCAAGTCACAAATGAGAGAAATGGGGTTTAACGTCCACTCGACACAAACCAGGTTATTTCGGGACTAACATATGGTTTAATTTTATTTCAATAATTCGTTTGTACTTAGGGGTCTTTAGCAGTTGTAGTAAACCGGAGAAAACCCACGAGGTTGGACAGGCGATCCTACCCCTTATCACGTACAACCAAGGACTCGAAACCACGTCAGTTGACTGAATGACAGACCTTATGATTCAACGCGCTGGCGCTAACCATTCGGCCATCCAGATATTCGTTTATTGTCTCTCATAGCACTATTTCCATCAATTTAATTAAAACTAGGATCCTATTTCGTTTCGTTTTTTATGGTTGAAAGTTCCGTTTTATTTGTCTGTACTACACTAGGATGTAGAAGAGATGTTATAACCTGTGTTCTGGATAGCATGAGGGATTAGCCAATGAAACCATCTGTTACGACTACTTCTTAGCGTACGATGCTAAACGTCAACGCTGATTGATTAATCAATCTCTGACGTCATAGGATAAAAAGCCTCTCGTATGAATAATTGGTCAGATCTTCATGTAAATCTGGGGCCTGTTTCACGAAATTTTAACTAAGATAAAATCCAAATTTTAGTAATTTGATTGGATAATACTAGATTAATTTTAGTGCTTAGCCAATCAAAATTGAAGTATCTACTAAAATTTGGATTTTATCTTTAGTTAAAATTTCGTGAAACAGGGCCCTGTATAGTAACCAGATTGTATTTCCATATATCTATTTATAATTTTGTTTAATATTTTCAGCATTTTTGACGTATTTGTTGGTTTAAAAGATCAGAGCTTTATACCACGATTAATGATGATTTCTCATTGGTTATGTTATTTTAACAGCGCCATCAACCCAATCATTTATAACTTCATGAGTAGTAAGTAAACTAGATGATTTATTATATGTTGTTTTTGTTTTTTTTTTGGGGGGGGGGGGGTGGCTGAATGGTTAGCGTGCGCGCGCTGTATCATAAAGTCTGTCATTGAGTCGACTGGCGTGGTTTCGAATCCCTGGTTGTACGTGGCAAGGAGTAGGGTCGCCTGTCCTACCTCGTGGGTTTTCTCCGGGTCCTCCGGTTTCCTCCCACTGCTAAAGACCCCTACGCGCAAGCGAATTATGTAAATAAAATTAAACCATATGTTAGTCCCGAAATTACCTAGTTTGTGTCGAGTGGACGTTAAGCCTCATTTCTCTCTATATATATATATATATGTTTTGGGTGCTATAGGGAGGTAAACGGAACAGCCAAACATCGGTATCGCATTTGAAGTACATTTCCCGCGATATAGCTCTATTTTTGAAAAAATCAAATATGTCTATTTTGCAACATTATGTTGTAGTATGTGGTGATGTTGAGGTGGTATTGGGTAGTATTGGGTAAATCGTCCCACCCTTAAGATGTGTTCTTGTAGCAGAATGGACCACGGGGACACTTGCTATAAATTCATATGCGTACAGTGGTTCTCAAAACGATGGCATGATGATATAAAGCGACGTAAATTTATAAAACGAAACAAGGAATAAGCAGTATATCCCAACTGGATATTACAGTCTCTCCTTAAACATACATTATGTAAGATTTGAATAAAGAGCTAGCTATTCTTGCTATACTAGTTCGAAAATAGATAATGTAAAATGAATAATTTGAAAATTGCGAGCGAAAATATTAGCCTTGGAAGGTTTGACAAGATGTGTGCAATAAATGTGGCTGAGCTGTTCTAATCTATTTAATATCGGAGACATCCGATGCCACCGAGAGTTGATAATGGCCTGGATAAGTTAATTAATGTCTAATTGATAATTTAGAAAATATTTCAGGCCCAAAGAAAGACCTGCAATAGGCAGATTCAGTTCTTGCATAATGTATGTTTAAGTAGATTAAAATGCCAACTCGTGTAATAAATTTTAAAACAAAAAAGTTACACAAATCTAATGAAATAACACGATGGCGTTGTGAAGTCTGAAGCCACTGTCCGGGGTACACCCCACCCCCCCACCACTTTACATAGTATAGACTGAATAACCTGGTCTTAATGACGTCATACTGGTTCCTACGTAACTGTGCTATTCTGTCTCCAATATGCAAGTCAGAAAAGGAGTGACGTAGGAGCGAGTCTGACGTATTAGAGCAGGTTATCCAGTGTATACATAAGTAATCATTGAATTGTAACTTCCCATAGGCTAGTCTCACACGGATCGAAATGTTCACCAGATGTTTAACCCCATTCTACTTACGGCCCCGAATCATAACGAAATCAATTTGTTTTTATTTGTTTTTTTCAGTGAAGTTTCAATCGGAATTCAAACGTATATTCTACAGAATGACATACCGACGTTATCCAGAATCCCATGGCCGCACTGAGAGTCTACAACTGAAGAGTAATGACGACTATTATTCTACAACGGTGGAAAATAGACTATAACATCATACAAATATTAATTTATTATAATACTGGTCATATAATATCGATATAGACGGGAAATGGTTTACCCTGTGTAAAGATGAAGTAACCTATCCCCGACGTCCAACAGTATGACGTAGAGGCACGTCGTCAAACAATACGATTATGTTGTCGTTGCTACGTCGTAAAAGTGACGTCATCCCCGACGTCCAACAGTATGACGTATACACACATCGTTAAAGATTATGTTGTCGTAACTACGTTTTAAAAGTGATGCCATCCCCGACGTCCAACAGTATGACGTATACACACATCGTTAAAGATTATGTTGTCGTAACTACGTTGTAAAAGTGACGCCATCCCCGACGTCCAACAGTATGACGTATAAGATTATGTTGTTGTTGTTACGTCATAAAAGTGACGCCATTGTCTCCGACAATCTCAAAACTGTTGTCAAATTTAAAAGTTTATGTTTGAAATCAAAATATAAGTTTTCACCAGAATGATAAAGGTGGCAGTAAGGTTAAAACATTCCGGCGGATGAATATGTGAACTTTCTGGAAATTCGTCAATGTTCAGAGAACTGGGAGAAGTTTTCACTTATCTCGTTAAACGTAAGTTGTCGGGGAAAAGGAGCACAGTCACGTTGTTGTCAAGGAAGTTCGGCCATGGTTGCTACGAGGATAGGCTGAATGAAGAGTTATGAATGGATGGGGTTAACAGAGTGAAGGAATGAATGGATTAGAGATACTATGTGTGACAAGCAGAGTTTTAGGCCTGTAACTAATATGTTCTTGTTGGATGAGTTTGTTTCTCTGTTTGAGAACAATCTAATAATCCATATTTGAAAAAATAAATGGATTACAGATACTATGTGATAAGCAAAGTTTTATAATTAATATATTATGTTGCGAACAATCGCATAGGCTATATTTGAAGAAATGAACGGATAACAGATACTATGTGATTAGCAGAGTTTGATAACTAATATATTCTTGTGTGGTTAATTTGTTTCTCTGTTGTGAACAATCGAATATTTTTGAAACCGAATAAGGTCAAGACATTTCGAAATCTGTGGCCATCGGTTATTCAATACTACTTAAAGGCCATAAATGCCTTATAAATAATTCGACCAATCTGATTAAAATACAGATCTATATTTCGTTTCGTTTTTTATACTTTCGATGGCCTACACTAACTAAAGATCTGACCGGTTGTAGTGAAAGGTCGCGTCAGGGGTCGTACGATCGACTTTTGACCACATGACGTCAAACATTGATTAATCAATCAGCGTTGACGTTTCTAGTGGTTCACCCACAGTTCCGTACATCGCACGCCAAGAACTCGCCGTAACAGACAGTTCCATTGGCTAATCCCTCACTTCAATCAGAATGCGACTTATATAACAACTCTTCCGGATCCTAGTGTTGTGAAGACGAGTAAAACGAAATTTTAAACTCGCCGTAACAGACAGTTTCATTGGCTAATCCCTCACTTCAATCAACCAGAATGCGAGTTATATATCAACTCTTCCAGAACCTAGTGTTGTGAAGACAAGTAAAACGAAATTTTAAACCTAAAAAACGAAACGAAATATGATCTGTGTTTTAATCGGATTGGTTTCGACGCCTACTGAATCATTTTACATTGTGATATTCAAGTTACAACATGCCAGAATAAACATATAATGTAATGCTTTAAGTTTTAAAAAAAACTATAGACATACAAAACTAGAGGTAGCCCACGCGCAAATAAATCATGCTTAGTTCATAATGAACAACAAAAATGGCTCCAGGACAACAAAATGTCTAAAACAAAGTAAAAAAGAAAAGTTTGAAACATAAAATCAATGCGTCATTATATTATGACATTCAAAGACCAGCATATACGCGTATAATGTACAGTTTGAAACTATACCCGCACTTAAATCATTATTCGTTCATAAATTGTTCATATTGATATCAGTCCTTTTTGTATAAAATATGTTGATTTTTATCTGTTAACATCGACGTCAAGAGATTTGAGGACCAGCATATAAGCGTCTAATGTATATACATACACAAAAATAGAGTTACTCACACTTAAATCATTATTCGTTCATAAATTGTTCATATTGATATCAGTTCTAATTGTTCGTATGAAATATATTGATTTTTATCTGTTAACATCGACGTCAAGAGATTACTTTTCTTATCTTGTAAAGTACTTTATGTTTGAACATGTGTACTGTTATGAAGGCAGCAATTCACCAAGCTGCAAAAACAGTGAAACGACAATCTGAAATAGACGCGCTGGGGGGGGGGGGGGGAGTTTCGGGGAATTATATGTTCCTTAACCGGTATAAATGAATGCATGGGCGACGTTTCGATCACCATCGGTTTGCCAAACGATGTACCATTGTAAAATAAAAGAAATTATACATTGATGATCTGTCCAAAAAAGAACCCGGTGCGTACTTTCCCCAAACAGTTTCGAACTCAAGACAAGTGCTTTTGCCTTGGCGGACCCTGTTTATATGACCCAAGAGCCCAGATTTATTGGACCAGCAGCTGGTCATAAACCGCTACATTGCGGGCGCCTCTCTTCGAAAAAAAGCCTATGGCTGCGCTAATTCCGCTATGAAACTTGGCCTGATTGCTCTTTGGACAATAGCTTAGTATAAATAATGTACGCTTGGCACATTGCCCGTTTGAAATAATGATACACCAACATAAAAGGATGACGTCACACTCCCACGTGTTTTGCAATTAAATACGTCACACGGCTCCAACATTTTAACTAGTATAAATAATGTACCCTTGGCACATTGCCCGTACAATTATTTGAAATAATGATAAGCCAGCATGAAAGGAGGACGTCACATGTGTATTTTAACACGTGTTAACATATAGTTCACCTAAGTGGCCGAAACGTCCGCTTAGAAAATAAATCGATGTCTTGCTGTACCAAGAAATCTGCTGTAGATAGTACCAAACTGTGCTTTTGGAAAATAAATAAAATGAGCATTTTATCAACGAAGTGTGAAATAGTTTATTAATAAAACTTATACTCTCTGAACGTCATTTGAGGGATTTGGAATCCCTGGCATAGTGTAGCACTATCCTGGTCACGGCACCAAAACCCTGAACTGTAGTTAGAGTTTTCGTCACGGAAGTGAATGCAACGTGAAGATTACAGATCCAATATTGTACAGGGTGAATTTCTAAAAGACGGAATAGGTGACCAAACCTGGTGCAATTCTGTTCATTGAAATAAAAAATTAAACATGTCGCAACATTCGACATTTTCTAAAGACGATATAAATAATCGAGTGTCATAAGTGTTGGGTTTGGTAATATTGTTTAAATTTGTTTGAATTCAAGCCACGAGAGTATCTATCGATATAACTAAATGAAATGAAAAGGGGTTTAACGTCCTACTGTTCTGCTTCGACTGGGCTAAAGAAGACGGGCATACGCCATACAGTGTGCTATGAGGGAAATTTTGCCAAGACAGGGGCGCTATGGCCTACTCTTATACTCATTTCTATTGACCTCAATGATGAAACTTCAAAGTTCCATTAGCTGTAATACTAAGTGCAGGGGGGGCTGCACCACACATATTTACACCAAACAAATCTACGGACAAGACACAATACGTAGAAATCACAAACATTTTGTATATATCAAATTAAGTGAATTTCAAATGAAATAAAAAAAAAGTTCCACTAGCTGTAGCACGTGAACACAATGTCGGCCGGAACTATGGTTTGCATCACATGCACTAAGATAATAATCCCTCGGTCCTTCATGAACATGTCCGCCAAAACTTCCCGAAATCTCACTTTTCAGAAATCCAGAATTTTGTTTTTTTATGTCGGATGTTTAAAACTGAATCATCTTAACGCTATATCACCAACAGAGTTTGATTTGAAACTAAATAGGAAGTAAAGAGTGAATTATAATCAAAATAAACACAACTATTCGATGGATAACAATAACTGTACGTTTCAACAATAATTCTCTGATCGTTATCAAGCACAATACTGATACACACAGAAGGAACGAATTATAATCACTGGAGATTCGCAATAGTATAAATAGTAAATATAACTTATAGACTCGCAATAATCAAATATAATTAGTAAACACGACTTATAGACTCGCAATAATCACATATAATTAGTAAACACAACTTATAGACTCGCAATAATCAAATATAATTAGTAAACACGACTTATAGACTCGCAATAATCACATATAATTAGTAAACACAACTTATAGACTCGCAATAATCAAATATAATTAGTAAACACGACTTATAGACTCGCAATAATCACATATAATTAGTAAACACAACTTATAGACTCGCAATAATCAAATATAATTAGTAAGCACAACTTATAGACTCGCAATAATGAAATATAATTAGTAAACACAACTTATAGACTCGCAATAATGAAATATAATTAGTAAACACAACTTATAGACTCGCAATAATGAAATATAATTAGTAAACACAACTTATAGACTCGCAATAATCAAATATAATTAGTAAGCACAACTTATAGACTCGCAATAATGAAATATAATTAGTAAACACAACTTATAGACTCGCAATAATGAAATATAATTAGTAAACACAACTTATAGACTCGCAATAATCAAATATAATTAGTGAACACGACTTATAGACTCGCAATAATTAAATATAATTAGTAAACACGACTTAGTGAACACGACTTATAGACTCGCAATAATCAAATATAATTAGTGAACACGACTTATACACTCGCAATAATTAAATATAATTAGTAAACACGACTTAGAGACTCGCAATGATTAAGTGTAATTAGTAAACACAGCTTGGAGATTGTAAATGTTCCAATGCGATGCGGAGACTGATACAAGAATGCATCAAACAACAAAACAAAAAAACGTCACCTTTGATATCAAAAGTTTACATTTCACCCGCTCTTCTCTCCTCTTCCTCCTTCTAATCTCTAAAGTTTTCTAACGTCTTTTTGCCATCAAAAGTTGACATTTTCTCCGCTCTTCCTTTCTCTCCCCCCTTCTGATCCCCACAGCTTTCTAATGTCTTTTCGCCTTTAGCCTGTCGTATCCTTTCGTCAATCAGTTGTCCTGGTAGCGGTACGGGTATAGGTGGAAGAGCTCGTCTACTCATCCTGCCTTCTTCCACCATTTTTATGTCCTTCCTGGGCGGTACCGTTGGCCTACGATAGTCTGTCCATCCTCTCGCAAGTCCTGGTTGTTGTCGTCTGCGTCTCCGTCGTGCTTTTATGAATAATATCATTGTTACAATAGTTACAACCACCATGACGCCTACGACTGCGACCATTGTGAATATAGTTGAATACGGAATTGTAGTACTAGTACCAACTGTTACTTTATCAGTGATCGTTGGAGCCGTAGATCCATAAGAACTGAGATATCCATACGACGTATAAGAAGAATAAGAAGATGTATCATAGAAATAATCATAAATCATAGTAAACATGTTGCTCTCGTGAATAATACTATCGGATTAAACATATTCCCCTCTCTTTCTCCCTCTAATGATTCCAGATGCCAGCTTCATATTACCTATTAAGAACATGATTAAATGTACTATTCAAATTAATTAGAGATTCGATGTATTTTCCTATAATATTACTCGTGTTACAACTGTCATGGGTTCTTTTACTTGCACGCCAACGTTACATACTACCTCGGGTTGGATGGCCCAATGGTTCGCACGCGCGCGCTGTATCATAAGGTCTGTCATTGAGTCAACTGGCGGGGTGTCGATTCCCCCCGGTTGTACGTGGCAAGGAGTTGGGTCGCCTGTGCAACCTCGTGGGTTTTCTCCGGGTCCCCCGGTTTCCTCCCACTGCTAAAAAGACCCCTACGCGCAAGCGAATTATTGAAATAAAATTGAACCATGTGTTAGTCCCTAGTTTGTATCGAGTAGACGTTAAACCCCATCTCTCTCTCTCTCTCTCTCTCTCTCACACACACTCTTTCCCATCTGAACAACTAGAAACTCCCTGTTAAAATTGAATATAAAATTACAGTGAAAAATATGTAATTTCTTTAACATAACGCTGTGAAAAAACTGTAAAAAATTGATAAATTAACCATAAAAGTTAGTTTTCGAATTTTCCCTATTCGGCATAAGCCAAACGAAGCCGCACTGCACATATTGGAAATTTCTGATGCCATCATTCCATTTGTATCAAACATCACTCCTAGGTCCGAGGGACTGATCTCTGTAGCACCAATTCGTAGCCGTACATCTGTAGTGCTGACTCGCATATCCGGGTTCCCGTCATTTAATGCTAGTATATTCGTTCGTATCCAACCCCGAATTTCATCCACAGATCTCAATAGAAGCTTAACAGTGTGATCCATCCTAGTTTAACAGCAGATGTACAATTGGGTGTCATCGGCAAACATCATAGTATGAAGACCATGCCTGACAATAACATCCTCGAGTGGGGAAACATACAATGAGAACAGCTCAGGCCCGAGAACTGAACACACTAACACTATTTATGGAATAACAATTACTGGTTTATTAACATGCAACGTTTCGACGATGATACTTGCGAAAGGCTTCATTACTTTACGTCTATAGTCCACTTATGAGGGGGGGGGGGCACGGTGGCTAAGTGGGTAGGACCCCGACTCGCTTGCCTGGAGGTCGAGTGCTCGATACCTGCTTTGGAAGAGAAAGTTCATCCAGATTTTCCGGTGTGGTTCCCCCTTGCCAGTGATGCAGGCCGGACAAGGATAACTGTCTAGTCGTTCGGATGGGACGAAACACCGTGGTTCAGTGTTCACATTGGTGTGCACGTAAAAGATCCCCATTAAACTGTTAAAAGTATATATATATATATATATATATATATATATATTTACAGTTATAAGTATACTTAAAATACAGTGTCCGATTTGGAATATCACATGGTTTGTTAACTTAAATGCATATGAATACAAGGCTTATGTAAGATTACATCAAACGTATTGTAAGAAGCAGGACAATAGGACGTTAAACCCCATTTTATTTCTTTCCATTATCGAATGAGGTTTTGCATGCTCGGCTGAAAGGTCCGTAAAACTTTATGTGTTCGCCAGAATCGAACCTAGGACTACTTAGCCGAGTGGAGACAAACACCTTTTCAAAGTTTATTTCAAGTAAATATACGCTTCAAATTGTATATTTACCGTTAAATGACTGGCAGAAAGTTGCCATTAAAATCACTGTACTTTAACACTAAATGGTAGATTTAGATTCACAAACACCACGT